ATATATATATATAACGCCATCGCTGAATGTTATAGACATTTTATGGATACTTGTATGATAAAACATTATGCTATAGTAAATATATAATATAATACGTCTATCAATCCATCTATCCATCCATCTAAATAGTAATCACAAAAGTCAAACTCCTCGTTTCACTCTACAATTGAAAACCGGATTCATTCAAATTAATTTCTTTCTGTTTAAAGGTAATTCCCGTTCCGTTCTTCCTTCTCATTCTTCTACACTTCAATACCTTTCTCCCCACCTACCTACCATTATCTAATTTTACTTCTTACAAACACATTTATATACAAACATATTCTTCATTCTTTCTTAATACGCATATAATACAAATGTATAATATCGATTATCGCATTCACTATCATCACTTAAACTTTCTAATATAATAATAAAAGATAAAATACACGCTGTAATAAAGCATTATTCATTCACTCTGTTAGCATATGCATATTATAATGGCAATGACCTTTTAGCTGGAGCAGCTGCAATCGTAACTTTACATTTTATTCTATTATGGTCAGTAACTTTCAGCTATCTTGAATATCATAGTAGCGAACTGATCGAGAGACATATTACTCATAAGTATAAATAACTCCATTTCAATTTCACTTCGCCTGCCGCGGTTTTGTTTAAAATTCACCACAAAAATCTATCTCAGTGTTACTGCATTAGAAACCAACGGTTAGCGTAGAGTTGGGTCGGTGGCCAACAAACCGCGAGGATCCTCAAAAATTCGGTCGGGAATTACCGACTGAGAATCGGGGTCCCGATCGCCACCGAAAGGGCTGGCTCGGTCGGGGGCCTGGGCAAACCGAACTTCGGTTGTCACCAATCGGCAACCGACCAATGCCTAAAAATTTCCTTTTGGTGGCCACCGACAGGACATTCGGTCGAGGAGCACCGATAATAAGCTGTCGGTTCCCAACACTAGTTATCAGCATAATGCGTTAATTATCATGATCACTTCAAATCAATACACCCGAATAATTTAACAAGAATACAAGTTATTCATTCAAGCAGCAATGTTGCTGTATCATCATCTAACACTCTTATGGGTATGCAAGAACCGATGCAAATCAATCGTGCAAGGCCATAGTACCCTCGCACTGATATGCGTTGACTACTGAAGATAAAAATCTCATCACAATAAATACCTATATCCTGCGTGCAAAAATATGAATTGAAGGCAGAACACCTCAAGCAATTGTGTACATTCTAGAGCGTAATATGCTGTTCAAAGCGCAAAATTGGCAATAATTCGCGAAATACGTATGTGTCTAATTGTAATTACTAAGCAAGCAGTCAATAAAATATGGGTTGAACATAAACAACATGCGAGAATAATCACAACAATGCCAATAACAATAACAGTTAATTGGCTAGCACTGCTAACATTTCACAAAAATAAAACATGGCATGCACACTTCCACAATTCGTTATCGTTATCATAAATACGCGACAAAAAATGCGTTTGAACCATAATTTGTCAGAAATGAAACTACTTCACAGTCAGAATTTGAAAAATGAACTATAACAATGAATACAGCTATTATTAATAACCAATAAAGCAACCGGATGACTATTATGTAGAATAACAATCAGTGTACATATGGAATATGCACTGCTATGATAGGGTCATATCCATCTGTTTAATGCTATTCAGTTAATCGAAGTTTCAGTAAATGTATCTATCCATCAGTAAAAATGTTTAATAAATAAATCCCTTTTTACCATAATAAAAACAAATCTTCTAAACTTGAAAAATCTACCCCTCACCTCATTTCATTCTTCTATCAAACATCTTCATCAATAATACTGCATACCCATCCAATACACCACACAATAACAATAAATCTATCCTCTTATGAACATTAACAATGAAAACACCAATAAGTAAATTCTCTAAAAATCCAATGATGCAAATCACATCCTTTTCATGTTTATCATCCAATGTTTAAAATAAAAGTATAGAATTCATCATCTATATCGAAGCAACAACAACAATCTCAATTAAATAAGCCAAGCATTCAACTGGCTCACTGCTCAGACCATCTTTCCATTCATTCATCCATCCGAGCATCGTATTCTCAACTCAACAAATCAATCAACAATCCGTTCATTCAATCCAATGTAAAATCACAACAAATCCTCCATAAACTCAACATTATAATCTAACCTTAACCTAAACTTTTCTCCATCAACATCATATCATACATCCTTAGTACAATCATTGCTTCGCTTCACATTTCATTCTATACAAACCACCATACTATTTTCCACTAACTCTCTATCTATTTACCATTATCCTTCCAAATTCATCGAATCGACCAATCTATTCCACATCCACCGCCATTCCTTCCCTCATCTATTAAAAATGAGTTCACTCTTTCCTTAATCCTTAATCTTTGTTGCTCTTATCCTACCCTATCCTTCCAATCCTCAATCCATAAATCCATTACCTTACTCATCCATACACATTACCTCATCTCCATACCCATAAGCAAATACCACAACCCAATTTTAATCCTTCTCTTCCAAAAATACAATTAAAAAATATTTATGAATTTATATTCTCATATTTATGTCGTATTGTTATAAATATTCTCCTATAATATAAATTATATTACAGAAGAGACGATTGAATTTTATGTATATTTTAAACTAAATTTTTAGCAATTCGAACCAATACATAAGAATGAAAAAATAAATCAATGGAATCGAATCAATGATGAAACGAAAGAACGAAACGAAGTGTATATATAAACATACACATGCGCATATAATAAACAAAAAGCAAGAAAACGGTGAATGAAAAGTTAAGCGGTGACATGAAGATACGCATAGTGGTAATAATAACAATAATAATAATAATAATAATAATAATAA